AGCAGTTATTGTATTTAGTAAATATGTTTTATGGTTTGAAATCTATTTTTATTTATAAATGAACCCATAGGTGGGCCGAATTGAGTTAATCATTGGGCCTGCTTTGGCCCCCGGGCCGCCAGTTGAATAGCCCTGCTCTGTGGCGTTAACAGTTCTTCATTCACCAGGTGTTACACTGAAGCCGTTTTACCATTTTGGGAAAGTCGCAGCATCCTAAATGAATTGTGAAAAGTTCAAGCAAATGGTAATGGGGATGATATTGATCTGTTCGTCCATCTGCCTTCCTTCGACACATCAGCAGAAAGCTCTAACTCAAACACTTTAACAATATAATAACGTTTGACATTATGTTGGATTTGTAATGGCTCCTTTCATGTGAAAGTTGCTGACTTAAAATGACTCGAGAAATACAAAAGATCACACGGATTCACCCCGGGCAGAAAACCCCTTCTGCACAAGTTTCTTGCTTTTCCAATCAGTGGTTTCGCAGCAGGAGTTCTGCTCGTGTCAGACAATAAAAAGCACCTGCTGTGACAAAATGATTGAAGTGAAGCCTGAACATCTCTAACAAGTACAGAGACACACACGTTATTCAAAACTTAATTTACCCTCTTGAATGGTCAAGAAACTCTAGTTTTCAATGTAAATTAACAGATTTATTCTTCTTGTTTAGGGAGTTCCTTTACGGCGGCCATATTGAAATGATTTGTTTGGTGATTCTTAAGCATTTCATATTTTGCCTGTTTGTTAATTTGAATGTAACGCTACTCCCTACATGATGGAGAGTTAAATATGCATTTCTTAAACTCTTGTCTTATGAGATGAGATTATGTTATTTATTATTTTGCTTTTCATATAAAGTTATAAAACCTTGCTCAGACGTTTGCTCCAATTCCAGTTAGAAGAACATACTCTTAATGCTAATAATAGTGATGTTTCTAACATTTGTGTCCTGGGAACATTTTTCTGCACATATAAAAAATATATTCTAAAACATTTTGTTACTGGTATTAGTAGGTTGGCTTTTCAAGGTTTTTCTTATATAATCTTCAACTGATTCAGGTGAGATGAGTAGAAATGTGAATCAACTCAGTGCACCATAACCTACTGTGGCCCTGATGGCTCAAATCAATTTTTATCAACATAATCAATAAAAGGTTAAAAATATTGTTTATAATGAAGCTATTGTTTCACATTGCTGCAAAGATGGAAAACCAGTAGGCGTATTTCCATCGCTGATGGCAAAAGAAAGAAGGTGTTAAAAAGTTTTTGCTTGTGTCTGAGTGTGTTCATGTGCATGTGTGTGGTATCTGTTAGTAAAATATCTCAGGGAACACTGAACAAATTTCAATAAATCTCAGAAAGTAATTGGGTGTACGTCAATGTTAGATTAACTTTTAGAGCCAGTCCAATTCAAGATGGCTGCCACAGCTACACACAAGCATGATTGACAGTTTTATTAACTTTCAGCTAAAACTGTGTCATAGCAGCTAAAACTAATTTACAAATCATACTCCAAGCGCTACACGTCGTTGCTTAATAACTGTTGTCATCAACCATGTTTGTCTATTAGCAAACCATCCCATGTACTTCTCAGAAAGAAAGAAAAAACTGTTTGTACATCTACAACTGAACTGTCATCCCCTTTTTAGAGGTCCACTACAGCTAATCCACCGTAGCCAACACATAAATGTCAGTTTTACAGATGTTGAGTTATAGTACCTGAGAGCCAACCACAACATATTCTCTGAGTGTTTACAAATCTAGTTAGATTTCACAATATCACATACGATTACACATATTATTTACAAATTTTGATTAAAAAAAACAGCTTTAACTCCTTCCTTTCTCATCATAAGATGGTCTTAGTTTAACTCTATGGGGAAAAAGATGGCAGTCGATATGCATTTATTAAGGTCTAGGCCTTAAATTGTAAACAAAATTGTGCAATTTAACTGTAAAGTGGATTGTTAGTTTATTATTATTGAAATAGTAATATGAATTATTTGCCTTAGACATTACACTACATTGTTACTTTGGGATTCGTTGTTAAACTGAGCAAAAAACAATATTCTTATTATGTACAAATTGGTGATTGTTTAACACATTATGTCCAAAGTGCTTGAATGTTTACTATTGTGTCTGCGTTGGCCCTTTTCTAGACAGGTGACCCATTCAGGATGTTCCCTGCCTCTTGTTTGATGACTGATGCTCCAAAACCTCCCTGCCCCATCACCCTGCACAACATGAAGCGAGGAGAGAAAATGAATAGGTGCAAAGTTTTTTTTCATTTCTACACAACTGGTTTTTAAAGCTGGTGTTTCAGCTGCTTTCCAAAACTTAAACACACTCTTCACAGGAGCATCTAAAGATTCATTATAATGAATATTTTTAGCCATTAAGGCTGCTTGACTGGTTTCTAATCCTATAATGATATCAATCCTCTGTGGAAAAGGATGTCAAAATCTGACACAAACAGAATTTATGGCATGTGAATCTTTTTCCTATTAAGTATTTCCTGGAAATGTATGTATGTAATGAATGTGTCCTTTGGTTGAGCAGTTTCAAACTTCTAAAATGAGCCAGTGAAATCATGAAGCATGCAAAGTATTAACCGAACGCAAAATATTAAATCTAAAACATTTTGTTTGTAAGATAAATCAACGAGTCAGTATATAATGTGTTTTTAAGGCACTGTTTTTAGGAAGTATCTAGACATCAGGGAGTTTTCTAAATATATATATATATATTTGACCATCATGTAATCACCAGAGTGAACAGATTCATGTGTGTGTGGATGTACTGGGAGCACAGACACAACGGCAGATCAAAGAGCTGGGTCAGGACTGGTTATTGTCTGTGTGTGGGTGCAGGAAGACTCCATCGTGACTAATGAGTCACTGCCTCTAATTAGAGCACCAAACACACACACACACACACATAAACAGAGTAAGATTTAAGTAATGGATATGCTGTATATTCTTTTCTTCAAGCTGAATAATGCTCGAGTTTGTCTGCACAGAACTGTGAAAATGTTTTAAACTTAAAGAGTTAGACCTTTTCTTTTTCTTACATTTTAGTTTTGGTTTGGCTGCTGCCTCACTCATTTTCTATGCAGTTCTTGTACCTGATCATAACATTGTGCCTAAAAATGTGAAAGCTGGACAAGTGGAAGAGAAAAATAATAAAAAGGAGTGTCAGGCTCAAAACATATCCGGCAGATGGTCAGTGTCTGAAAGTATTCAAGAAGTCAGAAAAAGTCCTTCAAAGATGTCATTCTTCAGGTAATTCTATAAGTCTTCATTTAATCTGTGGACATTCTCTTGCTGGGGCTAAAAGACGATTGTGTATGTGTTACCTGTGTTATCTTTGGTATTTCAATGTGAACAAAGTGTGTCTTTGCTAAGTGCTTACATGTTTAAGTTCTTTCAATTTGATTCTTTTTTTAAGTTATTCATGATTTTTGTGTTTCAGTGTTTGGTTTTCTGTTTTGGGGTTTATTTCCATGTTTGCCTCCTAAATTTGGTTTATGAGTTAACTTTGTGTTTGGTTTCTTTCTTGTGCCTCCATGTTTCATACTCAGTACTTTTCTACTGCCAACCTTTTCTCCTCAGCCTCTGCTCCTCAGCCTCTTCTTTTCAGCCTCTGCTCCTCCGTCATACACCTGTTACCCATTGCTATTAGTCAAAGTTGCAACCATTTACCTCCTCTGAACCAGATTTTCAGTCTGCATTCACCTGCGCTCTGGCATTGTGCTTCATGCCTGTACTTATTTCTGCCATGTCAACTGCATCATGAAGGACCCCACTCACCCAGCACACACACTGTTTGCCCCGCTCCCCTCAGGAAGGAGGTTAAGGAGCATTAAGTGTAGAATCACTAGACTGAGGAACGTTTATCCTGCGGCTGTTGGTCTCATGAATATCTAACCAGGATAATCTCTGTGAAGAATCACATCATGTTGCTGCTCATCTGTTTCATGTTGCTGCTGATCTGTTTCATGTTGCTGCTGATCTGTTTCATGTTGCTGTGTTCATTCGTGCTCATCTGCTCACACAGACTCATGTCCGTGCTGCTGTTTGACGTATTGTTTTTATGCTATTAGTGCTTAGTGTATTATTTAGTTAATGTTATTTTTTAGTTTGTATCTTGGATTGTATTAATGTTTTTCTTTTATATTTTATTGCTGGATGTAACTGGGACCCTGCGTACATAATCGCGTTCCACCATATGTAGCACATGCAAATGACAAATAAATCTCTCTGACTCTATTTTGTTCGTTTTGATTGGCTTCTTTAATAGTTTGGTATTTACTTAATATCCTCACTTTTATCTGCATTCATTGGTCCATCCCCACCTGAACTGTGACAAAGTTGTGTCTGTTATATGTGGACACAACACTGGTTCATCCCATTTAGTCTGAATGATTCACAGGCCAGAGTTAAATCAAAACAAGCAAACCTAATATTGTAAAAAGAAAAAAATGAAAAACGTTGATCAAAAGATTACAAGAATGTGTGGCTCACTGCAAAATGACTTCAACAGGTTTTTAATGTAGACTATTGTATTTTTTTGTTGTTGTTGATTTGCTTTGTTTTGTTTTTTTGAATGTCCAGAGGACCAGATTTAACTTTTTTAGATTGTATTAAATGGTTTACAATCTGAAATAAAGTGCTAACAATTAATTACCAATTTTCTGTCTAAGGCAGATAAAAGAGTTCATCTGATAGCTTTTAAAAACAACTTTATAAATATTAAACCCTAGTTCTTGTGGATCATGTCTGAACTGTTCTGTTCACGTGCCACCTGCTCCTCTTCCTTTTTATAATGGGTTGACTTCCTGCGCGCGCACCCCGTGCTCTCTTCTTAATTGGCGCGCGCGCGCTCCAGTGAGAAGGTGTTGCTGGTCGCTGCCGCGCGGCTCAGAGTAAAGTGTGGAAACTTTGAGGAACACCGCTAAATGTCCGTCACTTAGCACGCGCTGCTCACCGACTCTCCCCATGTCCGACGCGGGAGATGGAAGCGACGGCGGCGGGAGAGCCCATCTGTCGGAGTCTCCCTCGCCGCCTCTGTCTGTCAGTGTTCCCCGAGGACTGCCCTCCTCCCCGCGGCCCCTGGACCTCTTCTCCTCCGCCTCGCCGCTGCTGGGCGACACGGACCCGCCTTACCTCGCCTCCTCGGAGTGCTTGCACGCGACTCCGGAGAGCCGGGACCTCGAAGGCTCCACTCACTTCACGCCAAACTTCCGCCCGCTCGCCGCGGACACCGTCCCCACCTTCCTCTCGCGCACAGATGTGCGGGTAGACGCGGGGCACGACGATGACCCGATCCCCAAGTGGAGTGGACGGAGTTCGGCGAGCACCGAACACCTTCAGCACCGCGGACAGAGGCAGCACAGGACCTCGGAGCTCCTGGAGCACGGGAACCACTGCACCACCGAGCACTTACACACCGAGTTCAACTCCGACACACGGCAGTCGTGAGTCCAAACCTTTTCTTATTCATCCCAGTCTTTAATTAAGCTTTTAATTTATTTGGATCATTTAACTGACACATGATTCCCCTGTCAGTAAACTAGTTGCACCAAGCTCTTGGAGGATTGATTTAAACTCATCCATGCTTTAAAATGTGCAGGACTTGGTACACTTGCAACACATGTTCTTGTTGTAGATTCATAAAACCGCCTTTTCTTTACAAATAGTTTAACTTTACTGCTTGTTTACATGTCTCCTGGGTTGATAGTTAATAGGCCATTAGATCAAAAATATGAAAAATGTGCATTATCCCCTTATTCTGCTAATCTTACTTGAAAATAAGTTGAGCTTGTATTGTTTTTTTTCTATTATTGTTGTTGTTTACCCCACAGAGAGAGCCTTTTTATATAACACATTAATGCATATTAGGATAGCATAACCATTGCAGGTGACACCCTAAAGAGACGTTCATACCTAACCTTCAAAGGTCCATTCTACAGACCCTCAAGTCAGTATTTAATAGCTGTACAGTCAGATAAATGCTCAAGAAACCATTATGAGAGCACATCCATGAGGAAAGCATCCACAGAGATTCAGAGGGACATGCATGGTGGCAACACATTTAAATCCAGCAACACCAGTTTACAGTCACAACTAATAGAAGTGGAGAACAGGCCTCAACCTTGGATCTTTGATCTTCCTTCGTCTGCCTCTTTGATACACCAGTGATCGGTTTAACAGGTTTATGATGGCGAAGACGTGTGTTTCCTAATGCCTGTCACCTGCGTCTGCTTGTGTCAAAGTGTTGTGTGAACAGGTCTGTTTCTCATTAGAGTTACAGTGAGACGCTGACCTTTGATCCAAAAGCATGGATGATGTCCTGCTCTGGGAAAAACGTCTAAGTGTATACACAGTTTAAATACAGCATGGGCAAAGAGAACAACTCCAAGTGTACTGATGACATTTCTGTTGAGTTTCACTCGTTATCCTTTACGTTTTACTTTAAATCGCATCCAGCTGTATCCTTTTCTTTTATTTCTACACTAGTTGACCTGTAAATCACCTAACCTACATGATTGCTGCACTGATTATGAATGTCCTGGTGACCCAAAAGTTCAGCACTAAAAATGAGGGCAACTAGAGATTGGTTGTAATGTTTTTATCTTGACTGAAAGCTCACACATAGAGAGACTATACATTTAGCTAATGAAAAGAAAAAATAATACATTGTATGCCAGTCTAACTCGTTAACTCTTAAAAAACTGCAACATAGATTTGAACACCAATAATCCAAAAGAAATGATCGCGCTTGGGGTTTTGAGGATGGTGTTGTCTAAACTAGTTTCACCCTCAGGTGTCACTCTTTTTAAAAAAACCAAACTGTTTGCAGACCAGTTATGCCCTGGAAGAGACCACTTTAGTCAAGACAAAGTGTTTTAGTCATGGTGCAAAGTAAAACACAAAAAACACTACAAAATCTACAGGACTACAAAATTATAGATGGAATCTCTTTACAACAAGGGTACCCTTATAAATGACAGATAATTATTCAGTTATTATTTACAAAGCACTTAATTTGAAGCATAATATCCATCTGTTATCTTCTGCTTGTTCCGGAGTCGGGTCGTGGGGACAGCAGCTTAAACAGGGAGACCCAGATATTTATTTCCACAGCCACCTCTTCCAGTTCTTCTGGGAATATTCCAAGGCATTCCCAGGCCAACCGAGAGACCTAGTTCCTCCAGCGTGTCCTGGGTCTTCCCTGGGGTCTCCTCCCAGTCAGACATGCCCGAAGCACCTCTCTAGTTAGGCACCTAAGGAGCATCCTTACCAGATGGCCTAACCACCTCAACTGGCTCCCCTCGATGTGGAGGAGCAGTGGTTCTACTCCAAGTCTCTCCCAGATAACTGGACTTCTCACCCTATCTCTAAGGGAGAGTCCAGCTACCCTGTGGAGGAAACTCATTTCAGCCACTTGTAGTCACATTCTCGTTCTTTCGGTCACTACCCAAAGTTTGTGACCATAGGTGAGGGTAGGAATGTAGACCGACAGAGAGCTTCACCTTGCAGCTCAGCTTCCTCTTCACCACAACGGACTGGCTGCAATACTGCAGATTCTACACCAATCCATCTATCAATCTCATGCTCCAATCTTCCCTCACTCGTGGACAAAACCCTGAGATACTTGAACTCCTCCACTTGAGGCAGAACCTCACCTTCAACGTGTAGAGAGCAATCCACCCTTTTCTGACTGAGGACCATGGCCTCAGATGTAGAGGTGCTGATCAGCCGCTTCACACTCGGCTGTGAACTACTCCAGTGAGAGCTGACGATCACGGCACGATGACGCCAAGAGAATCACATCATCTGCAAATAGTAGAGCTGGACTCCTGATGCTTCCGCACCAGACTCCCTCCATCAAGATATTCTGTCCATAAAAGTCATGAACGGAATTGGTAACAATGGGCAGCACTGGTATAGTCAAACTCCCACCCTGAAGGGGTTCGACTTAACTGACACCAATATCAAACTCTCGCATCGCTTGTATAGAGACTGAATGGCCTGTAGCTACAGACCCACAATCACGAAGCATACTCATACTCCCTGTGAGCTCTTAATAAAATATTTATAAACAGTTACAGTGCATGAGGTTAAAAAAAGACAATATTGAGTTGTTTCTTACCAAAAAGTGGGCAAACATTAATCTGTACCCTCCCTTCTCACTGTTTATCTGTATTCTTCATGATTCTAACATATGTTGGAAAGTTACATGTGAGCATTTACGAATATTAAGTTTGTTTAGACATATATATGGAACTATTTACTTAAAATAAAATAAGCTGAGCAACTAGCAATAACCATTTAGCAGACTGATTAAACGTTCGGCACGTGATCTTAGCCCATTCGTGAGTCTTCAGAAGCTCATGATATAGCATTTATCCCCCAATTTGTGTTTAAAAGATTTAGTTTTCTTTACAAATTATCTACAAACTTACATATAATCTGTTTATAAAGCATGAATGTTTAAAGAAAGTGCACACTTCTTTTATTTTAGATAACAGGACATGAACAAATCCACTAGTCCTTAAGTATGTCAGATGAATACTATTATATCGCATGTTACACAGTTTCATTAAGTACTGAAAAATGAAATCGCTAAATTATTATTTAAAAAACAAACAACCACATTTGGAAACAAATTACTGTATTCTCAATCATGACATAAGTTCACCCACTTGGGTTCACAATATTATTTCAGATCCTGGAAGTTAATCTCTCTCTCTTCAGGGCTTACTGTGTTATTACGTTCAGTATGAGGTGTGGACTGTGGATCATTGTAATAATTGGGTTATTTTATTTGTCAGCCATTCACTTGTGGATTTGCTACTGATTTTTTTTTTTTCTACTGGTATGACTCAATTTGGCCTGTATTTAAGAGCATTGCTCCTTAAAAACCACTTGTATATGACACTTTAATACAAAGTACTTCAAGTATCAAGTATGAACTCCACTGTAGACACAGTAAAGTTCAAAAAAGGCTCATTAACTACAAGCTACTTCTAAACAAAATCTCAAGTTTTTCCTGGAAACTTTTCCGAATGAGCCAAACTTGTTCAGTTTTCTTTGTACTTATATTATCAACTTTATCATTTTTAGTCCTATCGAGGCTCACCGACTTTTGGCTTAGCTCTTGGGTTATTTGCAGTTTCTTCAAGTGTTGCACCGCCTGGCCTTTAAAGTGAACTCTCGTAAATGTTTACTTCTAGGAAGACTGACAGCTGTCTTGACTGTTTTTCTGCTCGCGAGTAATCTTTCTTGATGTTGATTAATGAGCTCTCAATTGTTCGGAAATGGCCTTCTAGCCTTTCACAGATGAATGAGCAGCAACAGTTGATTCTGTGAGCTCACGGCTGAAGCTCTTGAATTTATAACACACACCTGTATGTTGGAGACCAGCAAAACTGCCAAAACATCTGCTTTTTATAGAGATATTCGCTCTTACTGATGATCAGTTAATGAATGCACCTGATATATATATCGGAAGAGCGTCAATCGATAGAAGAC